GCGATAAGTGGCTGAACGCCCGCTCAGCAGTCAGCAGATCAATTCGAACTTCACTGCTCACAAAAAGAGCTAATTAGACACCGATGACATTCAAAATACATACTTACGGTACGATCATAAACATCAAAGAGACTATGGTATTTTTTTTACTCCAAAAACTCATGCTGTTTCCTACTTTTTCATAGTAAGAGCATTTAGTTTTTCTCTGTTTCATCAAAAAAGTTGATCGTGCGAGACATTTTTGATAGGTCCACAGAAGCAACGAAAAAAATCCGATTTCTAGTTCAATTTTTTACGATTCCTAATGGGCAATTCCTCATTTTATACCCTGATTGAACCTAGGTCCTGATTTTTCTCCCCGGTTCCTAAGTTTATCCTGAGATGCTTACTTGCTGCCCTTGCTAGACCGTTGCAGTTTTTGGGGGGATTCTAACGCGCTGTATGACAATACATTCAATTCAAATTCAGTTAAAAATTTGAGAGGGGAAAAAGGGGGCATTTATGCCTAAAAACAACCATTATCGAAGAAGTGCGGAGTCTAAAAAGAACGCGTTTACAAAGACCCGGCCTTAAAATTGGGCGATTAGGGCTGTACATATCCACATACTGTGCGTAAGCTATGAGGTGTCACCGTTTCCGTATGCGATGTTCACTTTCCAAGAGATTCCGTTCAGAAAACTTTCGGCAGGAACAGACAAGTGGGAGACTTTCGATGGAAGCACTTGGTTGAGATACTCGAATCACGAGCACCGATACTTAACATCTTGGTTTCTTTCAAAGCGATAAGCAAGGGATCAATACTTATAATATGTGATATCGAGCAGATCTGCTTCAGAGTCTCTCAACGAGCCTTTCTGCCTTTTTTCGCAACTCGCGCTCCAACGCGCTAAATTCGTCGAATGCCTGAGTTTTACACCAAGTGTTCGTCGAGTAAGAAGGAGTCTACGTTGCCTTCCTGAGGAAAAACGCCTTGTGAACCTTCAAATTCAGATACTTATAGTCCAAACTCGGAATAAAAAAAGAATTTTCGGGGAAACTTGTGAATATATTTCCTTCAATTCTTCACACAATTTTATTCGAAATTTAATCTAAAGTAGGTAATGGACCACTAAACAAGGTCTGAATTTGAGCAATCTGATACATGTTTCTTAACCAGAATTTCACGCAGAATACGATTCACACAAAGAAAATTACTGAAACCAACTCCTAACGAAGATATTAACATTTGTATTTCACATTGGTGACGAGGAATTTGAACTGCCCGCTTACAAGAAACTCAAAGCTCTACGTGAGTCAAATCGCGCACTACAACGTTGTTAGCAAGCTTCTCAATCGAGCAATGTTCATTTCCCACCATGTGTTGTTCAAACTATAGGCAATTTGCTACAGCTGATCTAAAGCGTCAAGATTGAGGTTGCCAGAATTTTACAGCGCTGAGACTGCCATGATAACGTTTAGCGCGCGATATGAATCACGCAGAGCATTGAGTTTTCATGAGCGGGTGGTTTGAATTCACGCATCAAGAATCATTGAATATCTTCGTAAGTATTTAATTTCGGTAATTTTTGTTGTTCGCATCGTGTTCTACGTGAAATTTTAGTTACGAAACATGTATCAGAATGCTGAAATTCGTACCTTGTCTGGTGGTCCATTGAAAATTAAAAAAAAAAAAAAAAAAAAAAAAAAAAAAAAAAAAAAAAAATTATGGCTTTCTCCAGAAGTAGGTACACGTTTTATCGGAGGAAATTTGGCAGAAAACGAAGAATTCGTTCGATAAAATTTATAGCTCGGACGCTACTAGGTAACTAGGTCCAATTTACAAGTTCAAAACTTCACTCTGACACTGTTCGCGTGAGCGCAGTAAGGAAGCCGGGGCCGGATTTAGGGGGTGGCCACATGGGCCGCGGCCCATCGCGGCAAATTCCACAATTTTTTAAAATATAGGTAAAGAAAAATCGGATTCAGAAAACTAGAAAAGGCAACAAAATCTCTCATCTTTACAGAGTATAGTAATTTCTAATGTTGCCGTCTTTCGGTGATACAAGAGACAGCACCTTTATTTAGTCGAATTGAGGGAGAAACTGAACACGCAATTTGACCTGGAGCGTCATGGCGCCGAGAGCAATGATGACGATGACTCTGAGATGAAAAGAAGAAACCCTCGGCACAGCGGTCGACATGTAACACATATTAGCGCTTACAAGACTGCATGAATACTTCACGCATTGCGTCAAACGCAGTGCGATCAGCAGCCGTCGCGTCGGCGTGAAACGCATAGCGCCTACAAGACTGTATTAATACTTTACGCATTGCATCAAACACAGTGCGTTCAGCGCGTCGCGGCGGCGGAGGTTAACATGATTAAATCACATTTATGTTTATTCTTTCATAATTTTTTCGTTCATTTCTTATAAATGGAAGGCCGTATCCACATAGAGATAGGTATACAAAACTTAACTTTCATGCTAAGTTCCGTGAAATTTTGCTAGTGCTGACACGGCTTTCACAAAAAATGTGCCCAACACGAGTAAACGCGTCTTATGCACCCCCACCCCTACGGCACGTTCACGTGATTTTTTTTTTTTTTTTTCTTAACTACTTCAAATAGCCCTCAAGGGCTAATCCCACGCTTTAAGTCCCATCCCCCCTCCGTCCCTACTGAACCAGTCCCAGGCAACCATTGTTTGAGACCATCAAACTCGGGTCACCCAGCCGGGAATCGAACCCGGGACCTCCCGATTATAGAGCAAGCGCTACAACCACTACACCATAGAAGGCCGACCTGAATGTGATGGTTTTTATTGATGTTTCAAAACGAATGAAAAGGGGGCGGCAAGTAGGTAAATCCGGCCCTGAAGGAAGCGCCTTCATTTTTATGTACTTGCAACACGGAAAACCACAAATTACGAATAGTTGCATCAAAGCGTTGCCGCGGCATGTTTCGCTTGCGAACTAAGATTTATGAATGAACTATTGCATGCGTTTCAGAGGTCTATTCCCGAACCCAAAACAATATATAATATTATTGCCCTACTTTTATTCTTCTTCGTACAAATATGAATGGACAAATAATTGTGCCCGAAGTAACCGACTTATACTTCGATATTTGAATGGCTTGCTCCGAAAGCCGTCAACGTCTCGGTTTTTCTTAAGAAATTAGCTCTCAGGATATAAAGTTCTCAACGAGGAAGACATAACGTCTTTCAATGCTACCAATAAGAATGAATATAGGAGCGTGGCTTTTCGATGACACACTTGAAGTGCGACACTTCTGATAGCGTCCAGTAAACTGTAATATTGGGGACGGGCTCAAACGCACATGCTTGGCCTATAACCATGCTTCACAATTCTCACAAAGAGAGGATGGTAAAAGCAAAAGCCGAATACGGCGTAAGAATAGCGAGACTGGCTAGTTTGATTATAGGAGCCGGATATAGGTGAAGGTCTCTAGTTGATTAATCCTCTAATTTATCTTCTACGTCTCAGTCAAGACGCAGCGAGTCCCGTGCCACGGCTCCATCGCGCCTGAGGCTCCCACCCGCACCCCTTTACCGTGGTGCCGTACAAAGGAAGAACGCCGTATGAACCTTCAGGCGTTGCCAAATTTTCTTTGATAAAACGCTAATTTTCCAGATAACTTATGAATATTTTCGCTCCAATGTTTCAGATAATTTTGTTCGCACTTTCTTTCACCTAAAGTTCCTGAAAATTTCAAGGAAAAATATTCATAGCTTTCTTCAAAAATAAACATTTTATTAGGGACAATTTGGCAACTCTCGAATGTTCATACGGCGTCTTTCCTTAGCACGGCAGCGTGGTTTACCGTCTTGCCAGCTTGTCCAACTACCGGAAGAACCCTCCAGTAGTACACACGGAGGCTCAGAGAAATACATCCTGCATAAGCCTCAAGCTAGGCCAAGAGCAGAATCAACGTTTTCTTTGCAAGTGAGAGTTCACGGTTGCTAGGCCTAAGTCAGAACTGGCTCAAAAAATACGTCTTGACCAATTTACTTAAACCATTACATTCGGGGGCCTCATTTCAGTCAAACTTTAGGAGAANGGGGGGGGGGGGGGGGGGGGGGGCTCGGCTTTCTTAGAAAGCGCATTCATAGGAGGCTAATTTTTCCTGAGAGGACTAAGAAAAATCTTCCAAAACGCTCTAAAATTGATCAAGACTCAACTGAAAAAAAGTCAACTTCGAAATGGGAAGGAAAAGAGGGGCGCAATTGCCCCCCTGATCCCTCCCCAAACGACGCCTCAATACATTTAGATTCCTTCGCCAAGAGGGTATTGCCGCTTTTAGTAATAACTAAAGGGCTACGCCGCCACACTCCCCCCCCCCCCCCCCCNCGAAGCACTTTGCGTTCAGGCGTTGCACGTTTCACTTAAGATTTTAAATTATGGAGTAAGATATGCTTACATTTCTTCAGTTGCCTTGATTATTCTCTACTTTTCTCTTTAGTAAAATGCTGCTGCTTCCTTAGAAATGGCTTCAGAAGTGTCGCATTTGGATTCTTGGTCGAATACTTAAGAATACACTATTTTTCTGCGCCTTTACGTCACTTTAGCGATAATAGATTTTGAGGAAGGGCAAATGCAGAACTTCCATTGACAAGACACTCTTTTTGAGGCTTAACAGTAGAGGAGGGGGATGGGAAGGAAATGGACTAGTGGAGGTTGAACAGTTAATCTTGAATAGGACACTTTTGGGAAAACTGTTGGTTACACAATACGCCATGGGCCATAAACACTTTTTACGAATTTTTCATCATAGGTGGCAAGGATAAGATGTCTACATGCCTTCGTTTCAGCGCAAAATGGTAGATGCTCTTTCAGACACCCACTTTGTGCGGTGTAAGAGCAAGATACATGTGCTCATATGATACTAAACACAATTTTTGGTTTTTATATTTACAGTTAGGTAATCATTCAGTTTCAGAATACTGTTTTAGAGATTATTACTTGGTTACAGTTGGAAAGTTCTGAAGAGTAGGACTTACCGATCATAATCCGAGTTGTCTGCGTCGCAGCGTTCATCTTTGTATTCTTTCCAAGACTGACCGTGTCGACAAGTCGTGACCATTACTACATCACGCTCATTGTGAAGGTGATAAAGGGAATTTCTTGCTTCTGACCCAATACCATAAACATACCGTTTTCCTTTGAATGCTAACAAGTATTTTTTCACAACAGGGAAATTGGTTGCTGAGCCAAATCCTGGTTCACCACCTCTCTCTGGATGTTTCTAAAAACAGAAAAAGAAGACAATAATTAAAAATAAGGTCATTGACTGGGTGGACAAAAATTGAAAATACAGCTAAGTAAGTGTGAGAATATTTGTGAACAATTACTCGATTTGCTTAGTCTATTTTGACTTAATAAGTTAATAAGTAATTGGGGGCACAGTACCCGAGTATCTTGATTATGCATGGTTCAGTCTTTGGACTGTTAGGGAGCATCTATTGAGGGCTTTGGGCAAGAGTTGTAAAATAGCCGAAACTGAAAACTTAATTGAAAAAAGTTCACTAACTTACTTTAGGAAACAACGGGATGGAGACGTCAAATCCAAGGCGAAAACTGGACACAGACATGCTGGCTTTAGCAAGAATGGCTTCTCCCGAGTCGAATCCGAGGTCCTCTTCATTGTAATTCGGCCAGGAGCCAGAGTAGAGGTTGAATATTACATGGTTTCTACCGCCATTCCACAATTTTAAACGTTGAAGGCGAGATGGCACATTTCGTACGTAATCAGGAGATAATGGATCGCGGTCTAACGTATCAATTGCTAAGATAAACAAGCAGGCTTCACCTGGATTTGCGGTAAAGTATCTAGATTCAACAATTACGTCTATTAACTTCTGATAACTTGGACTAGGAGACAAAACCATTTCTCCAAACGACGATTCAGCCGTTGGGTACACATAAACTTTAAAATCAGTCTGGCACTTAGTGTAGTCAAAACAAGTTTCCATCCTACATTTTTGATTGACAATATTACTATGAGGACCAACAAAAGACATGCCGCTCGTCTTCTTGGTTAAGGGAGATAGTTTGAGATCTTTGTCAAAAATTTGATCTGCCCATGAATCTAAATATGATGGTAGTTCTTTCATCATTTCAGCACTGGAGTTGTCGCTTTTTAATCTGTAGCCTCCAAAGGACCAGTACGCTAGAAATGCAATTGATAGAAGAACTAATAAATATCGCTTCTTGGCTTGCATTCTTAATCAGGCTTTTATTTACTCAGGCATTTTTAATTCTAGATTCCATTCCCACAATATTCGTGGGAGAGGGATTGAGCCATGAACACATGCATTCGTGGGACACTTGCAGTGATAATATAACTTAATCAAGTCCAGGTCCAAAACGGCGTTTCGTGAAGTTTGCAGTTCTGCATTTTCGTGATAAAAATTAGTATGTACACCATGACTTTTCTCAACTTCGAAAGAGAGAAACCGGCGCTCGCGATTCACTATTTACACGGAAACTTAACATGGTTATGGCTTTGATTTTATGGCTATTTCGATCGAAACATACTCAATTTAAGCACCGCACTATACACATAAATATCACAGGAGATGATAAAATTATGACTTTGTCCATGCACTTTGTTTGAAAATAATCATTACGACCGCAAACATCACAGGCGCGGACCCGCGCGGCTGCGGCTGCTGATCATCGATCACTGATGAGAACAGTGGTGCTGGTTCTTCTGCCATTTTGAAATTTTCAGTGACGTCACTTTGTATCAACAGTATTGACCAATGAAAAAGAGAGCACCATTGCGCTGGTTGGCTACAGAATTGCAACCCTTCCCCCCCCCCCTTCACCAGACCACTACTCAAGGTGGCAAAATTTCTTAAAAAATAAATCTTGATATTTTACGTGAAAGATTTCATGAAATGTCAGAAATTTATGTAAGATTTTAAAAAATACCAGTTTCTTTTCATGTTTCGCAAAATGTAAAAATTGTGACTTTTTTTCTATGTTTGTATATTTGAGTGCAGGGTGCATACTCTTGCCCCTGAAAATTAGGAAAATATTTCACAGCCTCGTAAAATTTCATGAAATATTTCACTGAAATTTCCAATCTTTCATTTCTTTCTTACGTTTCATGCCACTCTGACTCTACTTACGTTCAGCATTTTCCGTCAATTTTCTCCAGTCATCAAACCAGTTTTGACTAAGCTTAATCAGACTTTTCGGACTTCCTCTGCAAAAAATTGAGTATCTGATCAACCAGGTCTGCTTTACATTTCAAAATATACCGCCTCAACTTGGGGGAGTTGGTATCTAGGAGTTGCTTTAATCCACAGTGTAAGTAAAAGCACTGAAGAATCCTCTGAAGTCTGATTAATCCTCAGAAATTTGGGGGAAATTTTTAATTTATTAATGGAGTCCCATTAAAAGAAGCTTTCGCACTTTAAAAGTGAGATAGGATACCTGCCATTTTCATTTTTATACAAGATCTAAATGCAAGGATTAATATTACAGATCCTCTGTCTCACTTTAAAAAGGGTGTAAACCCATGTAATGTGAATCTTGTCCTCAGAAAAACTTTGATGGGCTACAATTATAAAAACTGAAATTATCATCCAAATACACCCAAGAAAAGTAAAATCAGAAATTGACCAATTTTTTTGACTCCAAAAGTAAAACAGAAAAAATCTAAAAAATTCATGGGATGTCTGAAATTCCTTAAATTCTGCTAGTTACAACTTATAACTGTTCTGAGACGACTAGTTAGCACTGCCCTCTAGAAGCTAATTTAGTGACATGGCTTACAGAGACAAAAAGAAAGTCCAAAGTCATTATATATGTTTATAACTTTTTAATAATTAAAAGGAAACAACATGAAATAGAGAGTACTTAAAAAGCATGTACAAACATTTTTTCTTAATGAGCTTACTGACTTTTGCATACACTAAATTACCGCCATATTTTGAAGGTCTTAAAATTTGATGGCTTATGTGAAATAATTCAAAGATTAAAATAGTCTACTTCTAAAATGTTCAGTGAAAGCTCTACTTTTGATGTAATTTTGTACACATGCACACAAAGTGATAGAATAGAATACTGTCAGATGTGACAAACTGGTATACTAGTGCACTTACTGATAGAGAGTAAAATTTTCAACCCTCAATCAATAAAAAAAGCTGAATATTCTTTCTGGTTGAATGCAGTAAACTCAATTGAATTATATTTTTCCTTCCTGAGATTTTCAATTTATACATCTTTTTGAAAGATTTTAAAATTGCTCCTCAAGGGCGTAGAATATGGCAATCATTCCATCATTCCAAATTACAGGTATTCGATTTAATATTAGTGAAAGCTAACACATAGAAAAACGACTGAAGAGATTTGTCAATCATTTAGTTGCTGGCAGCCACTTTTTCTGCGCCATGTGCTTCATGGAATTTCTTCATTCTTGCTTCCAATTCTGGTCTGAAGTGCCGAATTAAACCCTGCAAAAATAAAATAAATCCTTAAAAAATATTCAGTGCAAAAAGTTTGTTCTGCTAATGGAATGAATGATTTCGAATGAGTCCGATTTGAAAAGAAAGTTTAATTGGACAAGATAATTTGAGGATTGATAGCAGAATTTCATAACTTAACCCTGTTTTTACACTTACTGGTGTTCCACTGACACTTAAATAACACGTGGCCCCTCTTGCGAATAAAAAACAGAACAAATCTACAGTTCTTCATTATTCCCATCCATCTCAATAATGTGTTTTCCCGGCCATCCCACTATTCCATAACCAAAAAAATAACACAATGGAATTCTGAGTGATAAAAATTGAGGGGCTTGGAGGACAAGGCGCAAAAGTGCAGTTTTTTATAAAAGTTAATAAACTGAGGACCCGCTGAGAAGAAAGATGTTTATTTTTTATAGGCTTTTACCTCTATCTGGAGGAGCTTCAGTGGAGCTTGTCGATCCATGAAATTATGATGAGACCCAAGAGATGATTGAAATAACATAAATAAAAAGGAAGTGAGTAACTTACTTGAACTGGCCAGGCAGCACCATCTCCTAAAGCACAAATTGTGTGCCCTTCAATCTGCTTACTTAACTCCCACAGCATATCTATTTCAGCAGGTTGGGCATTACCATCTACCATTCTGTAAATGATTTTGTTCATCCAGTTAATGCCTTCACGACATGGAGTGCACTGACCACATGACTCATGTTTGTAGAACATGATTAAACGAGCAATGGCCTTAACAATATCTGTTTGCTTGTTCATCACAATGATAGCAGCTGTTCCTAAACTGGTTTGCGCAGCGATAAGCCCGTCAAAATCCATAAGGACATCCTCACAAACGCTGGAATAAGACCAAGGCAGAAATGAATGGAGGGGTTAATATACAAATAGGTATTATGAAAAGACGACTAACTCAGCAAGAAAAACAGCCTCACTTTTTACAAATACATACATCTGGTCAAAAAGTTGTGTTACAATTTTTGAATCATTATTTAAAGAGAAAAATTTTGATGAGTGCCATTATTTATAAACGCTGATGAAATTAGTACCATAGGGAGCTCATGTGCAGTAAAGGTAAATCACTCTTGAGGAGTGAAAACTATAAAAGCTACAAATGATGTGTTTAATTAGGAAAAAAAGGTATTTATCACGAAATTCCCTTCATTGTCCAGCTTGAATTTTTTCTAAGCAAGTAGAATATTATTGCAGAGGTTTCTGAAAATACACACTGTCCAATTAATTTCTGAAATTTAAAGGAGGGAAATTCTATTGAAATATTATTGAATTTTTTTACTGTTCACAGCTTCATTAATTCAGAATATAAAATTAATTGTGATTTGAAATCATTACCTTTTCGGGATAAGTGGAGTTGATGATCCACCTGGGATGATAGCCAACAGGTTGTCCCATCCTCCAGTAACATCGCCTGCATGTCGTTGAATCAATTCTTTCAATGGAATGGACATCTCTTCTTCAACAGTGCATGGATTGTTAACATGACCAGAGATATTAAACAGCTTGGTTCCTGAATTGCGAGGACGACCTAGTCCTAAGAACCACTCTCCTCCACGACGGCAAATTGTCTGGAAGAGCAAAACCCACATGATTAAAATTAATTTCCAGCAACAGGAAAGATAATCTGATTAATTAATTTTAATGTAGCTCTTGTGTAGGTTAAAAATAACTTGAATTTGGATTAATTCACTCTGCGTCTGTAGCTTTGAAAATGCAATACAAATTACATGGTAACACTTTTCAATCAGTTGAAAAACCAATTTTATTTGTTACATTTAAGAAAATATTCCTTTCAACATAGACTTTTCTTTGTTGCAGTGCTTGCACCAGGCGCAGCTGGAGATTACCATGGAAAGTTTGCAACAACCCTCTTCCTCCTCCTATCCACAATCGCCACTTTATTCTGAGCCTAGAGCAACGTCTATACATCAAAGTGTACATACTTTTACTATAAAGGTAGCCTCTGAACACAAAGCTGTGTATCATGGGGAGCTGTAAAAAGTCTTGCAATCATTTTTATCCTGATTACTTTGATGCATTGAAACCAGAACAAAGAAAGAATGGTTCAGAGGAAAGGATATGACTAGGAAAATAAATTTCACTCAATACCTACATTAAATCAGTCAAATACACTCTTGCCAATACAGTCAATCGACTGATCAATGGATTTTATATTAGCTGCTGATCAACATTTTAAAAAAAAACTAATGTGTGTAAAAAAATCTTGAGTAATATTCCTTCAACCTCTTTGATGTGATCATGAATATAAAATCGATATCAAAGATAGTAGAACCTCACCGGTGATACAGCGACTGTTTCAACATTAGCCACAGTTGTTGGACATCCAAACACACCAATGTCAGCTGGGAAAGGGGGCTTCAGACGTGGTTTTCCTTGTTTGCCCTCAATAGACTCAATCAGTGCTGTTTCTTCTCCACAAATGTAAGCACCAGCACCTCGATGCACAAAGACATCAAAATCATAGCCGGATCCACATGCATTTTTACCAATTAAACCTGCTTGATAGGCCTGATGAAGAGAAAGAAAAAAATTAATACCTATGGAAACAAGGATTTCCGGTAAAAATTGCATAAATTACTGCCTTCAACACTACAGTTGGAGGATGAGATGAAGTTGGTGTTGAAGTTAGTCTTCAACAGACTGATTTCGAATTTTAAGAAGAAATTAAGTAATAGTTTTATGAGGGAAAGATGTTTACTCAAGAGAAAAGATACCAAGTTCACATCGTAAAAAATCTGCCGGGCGGGTAAAGGTGGGGATGGTGTGAATAGACCTAGAATGTTTTTGCTGGGGAAAACAGTAGTTAACTTGCCATAAGACGCTTTAAAAATTAGCAACTTGAATACTTTGAGGGTCTTGACTCCCACTAACGGACATACCTCCATGATGGCGACTTGCAAATTTGAGGCTTCATTGTAAAATTCTCCACGAATATAGATGTACGCTGCTCGAGCACCCATTGCTCTACCTGCAACCAGGCAACCTTCAATTAATTTGTGAGGGTCATGTCTCATGATTTCACGGTCCTTGCATGTACCTGGTTCTCCTTCATCAGCATTGACAACTAAATATTTTGGCCTGAAAAAAAAGTAAAAAGAATATAAGTTTGCATGAAAGTCAAATAACGGTTATTTATGTGAGAATTATTTAGAAAATTTGACATCATGAAAATGGAAAATTGTATGGGATTCCATTCCTCTAGAAAGATGTACAGTCCGAACAGATTAGACTTGTGTAAAAAATTTCATTTACTACGGATGAAAGAATCATTTTTAATGAATTAATGCCATACATTTCAATTAGAGGACAAATTAAAGTGAAATGCACAACTCAGAATTTACCTTCCATCAGATGGCTTATTCATGAAACTCCACTTCATTCCAGAGGGAAATCCAGCTCCTCCACGTCCTCGTAATCCAGATGTTTTTACCTCATCTTGAAGAAAATAAAGAAAAAAAATGATAAAATAAAACAAATAGTTAAGTCAATTATTTTAAAAGCTTCAGTCTTGCATTTTAAGCTCTGTTACCTATTATATAAACATAAATGAAGGAATATTAATCGTCAAAGAGCAAAAATTCATCATAACTTTTCATAAAATATCTGTTATTCACGGTTTGGGGGCGATAATAATTTTTCATCCATGGAAAGTTATGATGCACAATGACAAGGATTGGGATTTGGAGAAGGAGACCAAGAGAATAAAAGGATTTGAGGAGAAAAAGCAACTCACAATTCTTTACAACTTGAAATTGATCCTTGACAGAAAAATATTGCAAATGGTTGTGGTGTGGATTTTAATTCCGTTTTTATGAAATGAGATTTGTGGGGTCTGTGAGACAATGTGTCTATTGCAAGCAAGAGATACAGCCAACTGAATACACTTTCGAAGAGAAACTTCGCACAAAAATCACGTTGGGCACATAAAAAAAGTCGGAAATCCACTTCTTAGCATGCAATCTGCGTAGTTTGTAACATGCTTTTTCAACTTTACCGCGTATGCGGGCAGTCTCTCTTGGTGGCTGGCAGTCAGATTTGCCCAAAGAGAGACCCAACTTAAGTAAACAAACAATCTTGCAAACTATTATAAACTCTCCTTGCGGAAGATTTTATTGATTCAAGGCTTTTGTTTTTGCAAAATAAAGAAAGAAAAAGGAAACAAATGCTTTAAAACAAATGAAATCAAACAATAGAAAAAGTTAATTGATCGTTTGTTTACATTGGGTAGTTCTTTCTTACTCCTCTGCCTGTGCAAACCTAGTCCAACCTAGTCTGAGAAGAACTACCTGTACAAGCGGGAAACTTGAAAAAGTTTGATACAAACTACGCAGATTACACGCTAAGGAGCGGATTTCAGACTTTTTTAATGTATCCATTGTGATTTTCGAGCGAATTTTCCCGGAATAAATGTATTCACTTGGCTGTATCTCTTGCGTGCAACAGACCCAATTCTGTTAAATTCTAGAATTTAGATGTTACGCTGCAAATTTTTACGCAATTTTTCATGATTTAATAACCTTTGATTAAAAAAGGAGGAGAGTGATAAGGATGCGATACTTGATACCTATTTTTTCATATTGACTGCTTTGATGGCAAAGACAAAAAATCTTAGGAAAGTCTTTCCCATGAAAACTTTGAGAAGCGCTGTGCTAGAAGCCAAACCAGTGACAGGCTTATTTACACTGCTCCATAACTGAGTGGCATCAGATTGGTTTAGCGAATATAATTAGCTACAATCAAGTCAAGTTTGTCAGATCAATGCAACTTACTCAAAATGTAGTCGGGTCCTCTAAGAATGATCTCTTTTGTTTTGTACCAGTCACCCCTCTTCAGAGCTCCTTTTAGTCTCCAGTCATGACGTCCATAAAGATTTGTAAAAATTCGATCTTCATCACTGAGTGGCCCATATTTATCCTGAAATGCAAGAAAATGCAGGGATTACCTTTGTAATTAACATGGGAGATTACCATGTGAGTTGCAATGGGCACTGCAAAAAATGACAAATGGTCTGAGAGGAGCATTCTACTTTAAAAGAAACTAATTTTATTTGCTTTTATTTGGACGACTTTAACCCAGAGGGGTTTTATTTCAGAGATTCCATCATAAGGCTCCCTACGTTCAAAGGGGTTAAAAAGTCTTATTTGGGCCTTGAACCTCAATACAATAAATTACATACAACGAGGAGACTCTGAGGAAAGCTCAAAAGTCAATCTTAAGCTTACTATTTGTGATCAATGACATCCCTGGGAACACAATGATAATGAGCGAATTAAAATTTCGAAAGTAAAATTTGTAGGATAGGTAATTAGAGATAAACAAAGGAAAGCATTCTTTACCTTCAATGGTGGTGTTGGCGGTGGGGTGGAATAGTTGCAAACAGTCTGACATGTGTTAACAGCAGGTGCTACAATGAATCCTGCGGAAAAAAATATAAAACGTTTTTGAGAACTAAAAACTTTCACAACAAGTTAAAGTGCATAAAAACATTAAGAGGAGGCTTTTGTGTAAAGCTTAGTGGGGTATTCATTCTGAAAAAAATGCATTCCCAGCAAATTATCTACAATTCTAGAGTGTCTGGTATATTTAAAGACTTGAAGGCAATGTTTTAAGGACTTCAAATAATACTCGAGTCCTCACCAAATGAGTTTACGCACTTTTCGACTGCAACAGAAGATTCGCCATCTTGCTTCTTGCATTTACTTTATATGTGAAAGTGATATCAGGTGATCATCGGTCATGGTCTAGAAGTGGGTAAACTTATTTGGCATGGACTCTAGCAGGGAGCCTCCATTTCGTGAAAAACGAGGGCTTCATTAGGTATTTTGGGAACTCTCAAAGTCAAGAAACGAATGCTAGCAAGACAGGTACAACGGCTCATATCTTGCATCGCATCCGATTATGTAACAAAAATGCAGTACTTTCATACTGGGTTTTCTTACTTCAGAAAAAAAGTAATCTCTGCAAGACTTACAGACCATGAGTTTCTTCATGTTTATGCTACTAACCATGCACGTCATGTAGTAAGCAAGAGTCGTGTCAAAAATATTCATTTTGTTGGGCTTCTCTGTGTTTTGTTCTACAAAGATGACTCGCTATTTAGAACACAACGACATCTTTGTTGGATAAAAAATCAATTGTTCAAAGTCCACACTTAGAACTACAACCATCTTTAGTTACATAATGAATCCAAAACAATTTTCATGTTTGAGTCAAAGGCATCTAAACCAGCCGTATTTTCTTTGAGATATTTTTGATGAGAAAAATTAGAAAGTGAGGCTTTAACTGTATGAAGAATTTGAAACACACTGAAAAATGTTTGGTGAAATGTTTCTGAAGAGTTGTAGTCAAATTTTTGAAATAACCCGATGAGGCACAAACATAATTGCATGGATCTTACAGTCATTCTTGGCTGAAAAATTATAACCTTCAACTAGAGTTGCAAGCCAGGTTTCTATGTTTGTATCTCTTCCGTTTGACATACCTGTAGAGGTACATACGGTTGCACAACTTGTGAAAAACTTTGAGTTTTGAAAACTTGGCCAACAATGAGTTCATTCAATAACCCGAAAATCATTGATTAAAAGAGGCAAACGTTCTTTGAAGTTAAATCCTCATTGTCTCACTCCATGGATAAAATGGGATGAATAAACGCTTTTAATAGGATTCGAAAGCGAGAGTCGCAGTGCCAAGAGTTTCAGGTGGCTACCTATGCCATTTAATAACACGCAAGTGAGAAGAATTGTTTGACATGGTAACTGATTCATCCAGTTGCAAAAGTCATTCCTAAGCGTGATAATGAGACTAATGAGTGATCTAAAGAAAAGTTTTGGTGGTGGGCACGCTAGACCATAGCACTACTTACACTTCTCTAGCAGCTAATAAAGACATTGGAAGATGAAAGCAATCAAGCTGAAGAAAAGGAACTTACCAAACTGCCCTTTTCCAAGCACAGCTCGACCCAACGATGACAAAGCCATCTCACAGTAATATTTAAAATAAATTCAATAACTTAGTTTTAATGATAATGCGACACTAGGAAACAATTGTCCATAACCTTCAAAATGCCTTCATAACAAATCGCCAGCTGTTGGCTAGCTACGTCACCGACAGTCTTTATATAACTTTTTGAAGGCGGCAAAATTCAAACTTGCGCTCCGAGAGCCCTGTACTAAGGATCTTTCGTGAAAATATTCCTGTTAAAGGTCTGCATATCTAATTAGTCTGCACTTATGACAAAAAAATTCGAAAAAGTAAATTCTCTGATGTTGAAAGTGTTTCAACTCCTGATGGCGACTGTGCAACGGAAAGAAATTACTTCAAAGCCACATCAGTTCGCCCTCAATTTTTCGTGTCAGCAACATTCGCTCCCACGTGATCGAATAGTGGTATCATTCCCCTTGCAGGAGTCATCCATGCGGTCTCTGTCGGGCCGACGGAGTTTCTTCTTTCCGTCTCAGCCTTCAATATGAACAGCTATCAACTATTTCGACCTGTGGGAGCTGTTTTAGCCTACCCAGTCGAAATGAAGCAGCATAGAGAAAAAAAAGGAGGTGTTTGCATTTCGGGCATCTTGGAATTTTTTTGATGACGTAGGTCGGTACAGCGACGTTTATCATCGATTTTCTTGGAAAGGGTGTAATTTATGGAAAAAAGTCATTCTATAAAAAGTGCTTGAAATTATATCATGAGTTGATTTAAGCAAAAAAATGGGACATTACGGTCCGTTTTTCATACTTCGAATTCCGGATTTCGCTGGCCAGGTTGTACCGACCTACGTCACAGGGTAAATAAACCTCAAGATGCAAACACCTCCTTTTTTTCTCTATGGGCGAACAGTGCTTCGTTTCTTGAGGCGGATTTGCGAGTCGCTGAATTTTTTGCCCCTTTTTAATTACCGTTTTTATAGTACGCATACTGTGAGAGTGGATGTGAGAGTGGATGTGAGAGTGGCCCAGGGACCTGGCACCCAAGTCGAGGGCGCTGACAAAAACCCATACGTCACGGGACTGGGCAGCGGTGGAGCACCCCCCAGGGAGAGGGCAGAGGGGTAGTATCCCTTCTGCGCATGCGCAGGGCGAGGCTTGACCGGTTCCGAGTCAAGTGGAGGGGGTAGCCAGAGCCGGAGACCTAGGGAGCTCCTCGGAGCTGGGCCCTGGGATTATTCTTGGAGAGACTGGCGATCGAGCGGCACTAGTCCGCTCCTCATCCCATCAACCCAGAGTCAAAACCTGTAAGATTTGTGTGCCCTTTGTAGCGGTCAGAATAGACATCATATCTCATCAACCAGTTTGGTTCTTCTTTGGCCTTCGCGTCTATCCAGTTTGTGTCTGCACTGCCGTTGCGACGAGTGTCAGCTCTGCACTTGCGACGCCCTGCGTCTGCATTGCTCTAGCGACGCCATCGTCTGCACAGTAGTCGCGACGCGTGTCTGCATCTGCTCTTGCGACGCCTTGCGTCTGCACTAGCACTTGCGACGCTCTACCCCCCCTGAGCTACGCCATCTCACAATACATTCTCTTTGACAAGGAACGTAGTATTCCTTCAAAATTGCATACCTTCGCAGGTCATGAAATCGACGAGCCAAATGAAGGAATTGATATGTGATTTCCTTGAGAATTTTACAAAACATGTGAGGCTTCTGAGGCAATGCTTAGAGCTTATGATGCATTTTTAAATTGTTTGGGAATGCGTTTTTGCTAGTTTTACAATTCATAAATAGCGGAAATATGCATTTCTGTTGGGTGAAGATTAATTGGACCGCGTTTATCAGAAAGGAGCGAAGCCACATCAGCTATTGCCAAAATTAACTGAGCGATTTAATATTTTAGAAGAGAACGTTTGTGCGGATTTTTTTGAACATTTTAAGGAATTTGCGTCGCTCTATGCAGAAAATTCACTGACCTTTGCACAAAAATCCACTTTACCGTTTTCATGTAAAAAATTAAATCGCCCAATTAAAATATCTGATCATTAATATTTTTTGAGTGGGTCTCACTAAATGATTTTTCAATGAGGATAATTCAAAATCGTAGCCTCTGCGATTTTCTGGATTCCCTTGTGAAAATTTAGCTTGACAAATTCAGATTCCAAGATTTCCAATAGCTTCTGTAGCCGGCTGTACAATTTCTTATAGCCTTTTATAGCCGATAGCGATTAAGCAAAAGCCAGACGATAAAGTTTATGCTAAACGTTACTAAATACGGATACTAGGACTTAGTTAGTTTTTGGACCACCGCTCTCTTTTTGTGCCGTAGTATCTCGATTTATTTAGCGAGGAAAGCTCCGTACTTTTGAAGGATGCCTGCCATTCCTAACATGTTGGAGCGCCTTCCATTTCTTATGGTACTGTGCAATACCTCTGGTGTGAAATAGTTGCTTCAGACGCTGTGGCACGCTGCGGCGCGGCGGGCGGGCAGAGAGCGCGAAACGCGCATTGGCGCCTACAAACCTAACAGGGATACTTCACGCATTGCGCAATGCGTGAAGTATCCCTGTTAGGTTTGTAGGCGCCAGTGCGTCGCCGCTTCGCTTTGTGTTAGGCTCTAATATTTAATCTCGAGGAGTCAGCATTTTACAACTCATGATTTTGAAATGTTTGCACACTCTGTATGGACTATTTTCATTTTAATTGATGAAAAAAAAATATACGTTTTAAAGGAAAATATAATGTGTGTTTTGTAAATATTGAGGTAATTCCGTATCAAACTTAATGATTTCCAAAGAGCACACGAATTTCTACACAATTTCTTATAGCCTTTTATGGCCAATGGCGATAAAGTGTAAAGCTCGGCGATAGGAACTATAGCCCGACTGTATACTTTTGTATATCTTCGTATAGCCCGGCTATATGATTTGCTCCGCTTGCTACAGCCAGCTATATGGTTTTCAATAGCCTTCTTTAGTCGGCTATAAGAACTCCTATGGTATTTTGAAAGCCAGTTCCTATCGCCAATTTTTACCAGGGCACTGGAGGAATATTACAGATTTTTAAACCTTTGCCGAAGCAATTTCTCACAATCATTGAATTCCTGTGCTTAAAATTCGGAGTGATGTTTTTTCACATTTATCACTTTTTGACTTGCACAATTGTCATCCAAAATTACAAACAGTACGCGCTGGAACCGAGTGATAAAATACAAGAAAAGGTTGAACTTGAACAGAAAACACTAAAACGGAGATCTTACAAAACATTTAATTTAGGTAGGTAAGTATGGCACAAATTTTTGAACGTAGCGAATTCTGTACAAAATTGAAAGAAGGAAATGGTAATATCCATCGCCTAATGACTGAAGGTAACTCAGAAATTAGCACAATATCGACGCTTTGTTTTTGGGTCTGTTTTGCATATCTGTTGCGGGTGGCACATAGTATTAGCGCATCGAACTCCTCCTGGAAAGAAACACAAGACAGTGAATATTATATCAATGTAAAAGAAGAAGTTGATGGGAGAAAATATAGACTATGTCATTCCATTTCATATTGCTAAATTTTTTGATGGACATGTACCATAGCTTTGAAAAGGGAATTAAATCTATTTCGTTTTTAGTAAAAAGAACAAGCAAAATAAAAGAAGGAATGAAACAAACCAGCCATCTTCCTTCATCTCAGCATTTCCCATGTTGAAGATAGACACGTGCATGCGACATTTTTTCGTTATTTGAAACCTGCAGTATTTGTCTAACATAAAATTTTCATAATGTTCGAACAGTCAGTAGTTAAATTATGTTGAATTGGCAACTTGCGTGTTGTGTCCACGTCGTAAAAAAGGTAAGATAAATCTATCAACAGTTAGTAAATCAGTTGATTTAACCTTAGTTAGATGGTCGTCGTTAGATGGAAATCGCCATCTAATGGCAAAAGTCGTAGGTTATACAACAATATTACAACTTCTTTGCTGCTAAAATTAGAGGACAAGTGATTTCTTGCCTCATGTTTCGGTTCGTTTAAAAACGCACCATGGTTTTGCTTTGGATTACCCATCGGGGTCAAAAAAGAGAAAAAAGAAGAAATTGAAAGCGAGGAATCATTAGAAGCGTTGTGAGAAACAGAAAAACCGAGGTAACATATACATCCACCGATGGCCACTGCCAGTGCACTATTAGGTAGATAAATTGTAAGTACGAGTATGTATCTACGCGAATAATTTAAAAAGGAAAAGATCAATTTTTTCTATCACCCCACCGATACTATACCTATTTGTTAAAATTCATTCGATTATACTGCACTTTCCTTCGATCAATGATATTTATCAGGCGATCATCATGAAAGCAAACGAAAAAATGCACATTGTAAGCTAAAAGCTCACCTGAGTTTGAGCTGTCAAATTTTTTGTCGGAGCTCTCAACAGCGCTGGTAGCAGCACAGGACATAGAGCCACAAATATTTGGACAACACTTACGATCCTCTCCACATTCCCAATCGCTCATGCAGCGAGGAGCGCATGACGTCACAGAGAGGCGAAGAGGACAAAACCCGGTTTTACCTGAAATAAGAGATTCAGTAGATACCTTGAGCATAGCTGTCAAATGGACGTATTTCTACCAAACACAACTATTATATAGGAGGGTGGGAAATGCACGGTGTGCTCGTCAGTTCTCGGGTGATGAGTGCAGTATCACAAGACAATGAAGGGGTCCCGCATCGAAATCCTGTTCCACAAGTTCTCCGCCGATGAAAACGCTATTTTACATTTAGAATCATGGAGCACTCGAATGTTTACTCGCGTTACTATTGTTACCTTAAATATTCTCAAGTCCATAATTAGGATTTAAATGCTGCACGAGGATGTCAAAATGGATGAAATGCGACTTGCCCAACGCTAACAAATTTTCTCTGAGGACTTTTTAATGTCATGACGCGAGGCTAGGGGCGTGATTTGGTCAAACTGGTGCTGAACTGATACTAAGATTTATGTATGAGGAATTTAAACGTTTACGCATATAGTTTTTTTTTAGCATGTATCATAAGTTCATTAATGTGTTTTGCTCATTTTTAATTGTGTAATGAGCATGAACTCTTGAATATCTATGACTTTATTTTCTTTTACGCCGATAAATTTTACGCCATAAAATTTTAGATCCCGATCTAATTCTTGTGTGTACTTTTTCTTTCAGATCAAAAGATTTTTCATTTCATCCCATTTTCATGTGAACATCGAACGATTTTTTTTTTTTCGTAAAGCCAAAGAGTCTCTCTGAAACTTTTTTTTACAAGTTATTATCATAATTGTGTGTGTATATTTCACCACTATGTACAAGTAGTAGCCTCTGAATCTACACAAACACGTATAGCAAAAGCAAAATACTTACTGGACGTGAAGTTGAAAGCAGGTTGCACTAACAAGAAAATTGGCAGAATGACACCAAAAAGGCACTTCAACGGTATACCTGAAACGCAAACGAGAAATCGACTTACTTCAAAATCAGACAAGTATTTCCAGCAATGGATAAAATGTTTTTACTGATGCAGCCTCTTCGTCACATTCAGAGCCCATGATTCATTGCGGTGAATAATTTTGGAAAACGCAATTGGAAAACTTTGATACACGAGTCGTAGCTGACATATACGAGTTTTTGCAGACAAGTGGCAAATTTAACAGTAAAAAAGAAAAAAAAATCCAAAAAAAAAAAACAAAGACATCGTAGCTTCTCTTGCCGTTTAATGCTGTTTAATTTTACGTAAATAAACCATATTTGCACAATAGGAAGTTCAGAAATCAACTTTTGCGACGTTGCAGAAGCAGACCCCCTGCCACACTCAACGCAATTTATTTAAAATTATCATAATTTTTCATCTCCTTCGGCAGAATATTCTGTACATATTTTAAGCAATAAAGTTAGCTTCTTTCTCATTTTAAAAAAAAAATTGAAAAAATGAGTAAACAAGAAGCTGGAACATTTCCGCAATCCTTCGATCCCAAGATTGCAGGCTCGCGGTGTGAACACTAATAGGCAACGAGGATATCCTAACCCTACATTAACTCCTAACCGTGGTAATAACGTATTTTATGAATAAATTCAACCTTTCCGCTCATGAAAGAAAAAATAATTTACTAGGATTAAATTGCACGTCAAACGTCACTATGACAGTCTCAGTAATATGAAAATATGGCAACATCAATCTTGACGCTAAGCTTAAGCTGTACACACTTTGAATTCAGTTCCCGTAACCAATGAACAATAAAAACGTTAATAGCTGAGCTAGAAGTTGATTTCAGTAGTTTTCGTTGCGCGAATCGTGTTCTGCATGAAATTTCGTTGAAGAATCATGTATCAAAATGCTCAAATTCTTAACCTGTTTAATGGTACATTTAATCTAAAATATAGCAAACATAGAAAACTTATATAAATTTTCTCAGAAAAAATATTTTATCAGGAGAAACGAGGCAACGTTGGACTGCTCATACGGCGTCGAAACACAATTTTAAGCCCCATTTTTCGATGCCGCGATTATCCTAACGCGAGTTCGGATGATTGCGCGGAACACGGTGCGGTCGGTGTCAAACTCATCAGCGCCTGCAAGACTGTAGGAATACTTCGCGCATTGCACCAAACAGTGCGGTCGGCGTCGAAGACATGATAGCGCCTACAAGACTGCATGAATACTTCTCACACTGCACCAAACGCAATGCGAGAGTTTTTAGCGATAACCACTCGACCACGGGTATACCACGGCACATTACCGCTACCTGGATTGAAGAAGCATCACATTGTGAAGATGACTCGACGCACGACTGAGATCCCTTCCCTGGCTTGCGCGACGCTAAAATCGTCGCAAAACTAGGACCTTGCGTCATTTAATTTAACGGCCCCTGTCCGGTTTTTGCCACAATTAAAGGGTAAATAAGTATTCTAAGGGTCTTAATTGCAGCGATTCAGCAACTCGGACGATATTTTAACGATGCAGCAATTCTGGAACGTGATTCTTGTAAAATTAATTTTGATTTGATAAAAAGAAAACAGAACGAACGGAAATATCGCGTCGAAATTTTTTGTGATTTCATTTCAAATCATTCCGGGAATTTCTCGGGAACTCCTACAAAAACTGTGTGCAGTTTTATTAAAAAAAAATTGATTAAAAATAAAAAAATGAGTAGAGATTTGCAACGTTGCAATCGGAGATAAGCGCACTTTTTTCCGCGTGCAAGCGCCAATTTTTTGCGTTCAGATGGCATGGAACCTAGTTTTGTTCGGTTTACTCAGCATAGTCAGACTTTTCGGTTCATTAGGCGAAAATTCAGATACAATCCCATTCAAGTTCCGAAGAGTGGGTTTTATCAATCTTTTTTTTTTGTTTTCAAGGAAAGTAGCCGCTTCGAATGTCAAGAAACGTCGTTCTTCAATTTCCTCGTATACTTTTTTGACAGTCTAAATTTCTAATCATTTCGCACCACATGTACGCAAGTAGGACACTGCGTTTCAAATACCTCTGGAATTTACTGCAATAAAAGTGCCAATTTTTACCATAAAATTGCAAATTTTTACCATGAAATTGCAATATTTAACATCATTTGGTCAATAAATGTCAATTTGAAACAATCGTTAGTATGAGTTCTACGCGGGAAAAGAAAGGGAGGGAATTTTGCAAGGCTAAAAATTGCAATTTTATCGCAATAAGTTTCGATAAGAGGAGCCACTTCAATCAGTGAATGGACAACATACACAACACTTCGGCACCGTAGCAATAATTATTTCGCAATTGAAATTAATTGCAATCTGTGGTACCCCGCACTTTTTAGGAATTGCAAAATATCCTAATCGAGCACACTAGCTTCCTATTACAGGTTTTGCCACCAAAAAAATCATGCTTCACATTCATCCGCGATGCTTTAATCGCGTGCAACAGATACCGATTTTTTTAACATTTGACGAAACTATTATTTTGTTTAAATAACTCGCTTGTAACTAAGTTTACTGACAATACTCACTCATTTTCTGTGGTCGCAATTTGCAAGTTGTACACATAAACTGATGGAGGAGAGACTCATTTGCCTGTGTAAGCGCGAAATCCAGTCACCAATGGTGCACTGATTGTTGTCGGGAGCCTCAGGCAAGGTTCATTTCCTGGGCCACCGCTTCGTCGCACACAGAGCAGAACCTCATTGTCAAGGATTTTTTTCTCCAGGTCCATCACTGATACCTTTTAATACAAATATTCCCATGATACGTACCATATTTATGTTTGAAAAAAAAAAAAAACACACACACACAAAATAACGGGTAACCAAGAATTAAACCAATAAACATAAAACCTGGGGACTTTCGGTGTGGTCTGAATCCCCTCCTTGACCAGGAAACAGAAATATTACGTAGGACCTTTGTCATAGAGCCTCTATGAGAACCTCACTTTTTGTTAGCACGAATGGGAATCTAGGGATTTTTATTTTTAAATTTTTTGTGTATATTTTTGTTTTCCGGTCGAGGAGGTGGTTGAAAGCATCCCGGAACGTCTTAGGCGTTGAGTTCATCGTTTCTTGGCCTTGATTACCCGTTTTCGAGCATTTTTTAGTTGAATTATTCGAGCTATATTTGTGTGTTATTCTTATTTGAAAATAATTATAAAACCACTGCAGTTTTTCTGTTTGAATTCCGGAAATATTCTTCTAATTTGTAGGTAGTATTAAAGGGTTGCTGGAAAATGCAACTTGCCTTGTGAGGGTGGGTGTGTGTCTAATGAAGGAGAAGTGAATAATGAGCTAATAAGCTTCAATAAATATCCATTTGTCAACGCGCGTACAAAACGCCTTCAAAAGAGTGAATATGCAACCCCGCGACAGCAGTGCTCGAATAGTTATCGCTCGGGGTCGGATCAATTTTTGAAATAATGTGCCATCGTAACTGCCGAGAGGACAAATAGTATTGGGATATGTATTACATCTTGTCACTAATATTGCATACTAATATTGCATATTGCATCTTGTCACTAAGCATGTCTAGACTTCTGAGATTGAAGAAAATTCTTGTTACAAAACGAGCACTTGAAAAAATTTCGTGCAGTGTTCAACGAGTACATTTAACTTTGCGACGCGGAAAAACAATCCAACGCTATAACTTGTTCGATTAGAAGATTTGAAGAGAAATTATTTAGCCGCAATTAGTTGTATGGTATCTCGTTTCGTTGAGCTATTACGAGTAGCTAAATCAGGTATTTTGTTACATGTCTGAAAAGATAGTCAATGGTTCTCTATCTTAGGTTGAGACTGTGATGTGTTGCCTGATTTTAGACGAGTAATGTTCAAATATCAAGTTTATCTTCATTTATAATAACTGTGTTAAGTGTTCGTGTTCGACCAATTCTTGATTGTTTTCAATGATTTTAGTACTGAGTAAATATTTATGTCAGCACTGCTTGATGCCTCATCATAAAATAAATGTTGTGGGGGATTTTGCGCAGTGAGATTCAAGAAATATTCTTACTTTGATAAATATTTCTGTCATATGCTATGGTCAACTCAATAACCATTATGCATGTGAATCGTGGTAAAAAAATACGAAGTCTTCATTTGACAAAATGTCTGATTTGGCCATTATGGCCTGCGACAGAGCTATCAATTTGCCACTATAAAGGTTCGAGCTTTACCCACAGTGCGTCGGTCGCTCCTCTACGTCACCATGTTGCCGTGCTAAGGAAAAACGTCATATGAACACTCAAATGTTGCCAAATTCCCCTTGACAAAATATATATTTTTCAAGCAATACCATAAATATTTTCCCTTGAATTTCCAGATATTTTAGATTGCATTACATAAGAAATCGTGTGAAAAATTATCCGAAAAATGTTCAGAGGGCTCCTAGAAATATGGTTTTTTATCAAAGGGAATTTGGCAACATCTATTGGTTGATACAGCTCTCTTCCTTTACACGTTGGTGTGGGTGACCACTGTTCGCGTCAACGCTGTTAATAGTTTAATGGTTGCAAGGCCACGTCGTGGCGGATTCAAGTACTCTGTCGTTTGTTGTGCGAAAAATTAGAGTCTCGAGTCGCAGATCCTGCGCCTTATATAACCCCACGACCCATACTACCGTGCTAAGGAAGAACGCCGTATGAACATTAAAGAGTTGCCAAATTTCCTTGGATAAAACGTTTATTTTTGAGGAAATTTATGAATATCTTTTTCCTTAAATTTTCAGAATCTTTGGGTAGAATTGCGAACTAAATTATCTGAAAAATTTGGAGGGAAATATTCATAAATTTACCGGGAAATTCGCGTTTTATCAAAGGAAATTTGACAACGCCTGAAGGTTCATACGGCGTTCTTCCTTAGCACGGCAGTATAGCTCAGAGCCTGTTTCCGGTCGTGCGTCTAATATTATAGCCGAAGCCACGAGCAGGGGCCACCGCTCCTAGAATCCGCTGGTTTGACCTAGAGTCCCTCTAAACTGAGAGTTAAGACGATGTGAATCCATTTCTGATTGGTTACCGTATTTTAGGCCTCCACAGTGTCACAAACGGGAACAAAGATTACATGTTTACCAATTGCAAAGATTATAATCTGGAACGGACCGAGGAATTACGGGTTCGACAACCCTGGAAAAAATTGGCAGTAGAATCTGTGTTCCAAAATACCATAGACCTACGGCCGGCTGTAAGATTTCCAATAGCTTCTATAGCCGGCTACACAATTTTTTATAGCCTTTTATAGCCGATGGCGATTAAGCAACAGCCAGGCGATAAAGTGTATGCTAAATGTTACTAATTACGGATGCCAGGATTTGGTGAGTTTTTTGGACTACCACTCTCTTTTTGGGCCGTAGTATCTTGATTTATTTTGCGAGGAAAGCTCCGTACTTTTGAAGGATGCCTGCCATTCCTAAGAAGTTGGAGCGCCTGCAATTTTGTATGATACTGTGCAATACCTCTGGTGTGAAATAGTTGCTTCAAGCGCCGTGGCACGCTGCGGCGCGGCAGGCGGGCAGCCAGCGCGAGACGCGCATGGGCGCCTACAAACCTAACTGGGATACTTCACGCGTTGCGCACTGCGTGAAGTATCCCTGTTAGGTTTGTAGGCGCCAGTGCGTCGCCGCTCCGCTTTGTATTAGGCTCTAATATTTAATCTGGCGGAGTTAGCGTTATTCAACTCGTGATTTTGTAATGTTTGCACATCCTGTATGGATTATTCTCATTTTAATTGATGAAATTAAATATGTATTAAAGGAAAATATAATGTGTGTTTTGTAAATATTAATGTGGTTCCGTATCAAACTTAATGATTTCCAAAGCACACGAATTTCTACAGAATTTCTTATAGCTTTTTATAATCGATGGCGAAAAAGCAACAGCCAGACGATTAAATGTAAAGCCCGGCGATAGGAACTATAGCCCGGCTGCATAATTTTTTTATCGCTTCGTATAGCCCGGCCGTATGATTTTCTCCGCATTCTACAGCCAGCTATATGATTTTCTGTAGCTTCTTTAGCCGGCTATAAGAATTCCTATGGTATTTTGAAACGTAGCTCTTATCGCCAATTTCCACCAGGGAAGGAACAAACGGAATGAAAGAAGAAACGGAGATAAAGGAATTTGAGGATGAGCCGATCAAAGATTACGCAAAAGTTCAATTTGTGTAATCTTTATTCCCGTTTGTGACTCCATGAGGGGGTGTTGTCTTAACTCTCAATATAAAGGGACTCTAGTTTGACCAAGATATCGCCACCTTCCGCCAAAGTATCACAAGCGCCAAGCGACATTTCAAAATTTCCGCAGCCATTTTATTTTTTTACAGAGAAATTGTTCAACGAAGCTGTCCAAAAATTTCACTGACTTTACTTTGGGCTACCGATAAAATTCAGTGAAATTTTCATAGGGATTCAAACAACAATTTCTTAGTAAATAAATAAAATGGCGGCGGTAATTTTGAAACGTTGCACGACGGTTGTGATACTTCGGCCGGAAGGTTACAAAATAGAGGACAGCACTGATGACTGACGTGGTACCGATGAGAGCAGTATTCCCCAAGTTTTCCTGATCGATTTCCTTTAAAACATAGGCGGATCCAAGGGGGGGGGGGG